CAAAGTCAGTCCTGGCAAGTTTGATGGATCGAATAAGGGACGATCACCTTAATCAATTTTATTATGAGTGCGATGATACGAATGTTCATCGCACCACAGAAAAGCCCGTAGGAGAACTCCAATGTTGCAGGATAGCAGGCGTGCGTAACTACATAGATGCGCAGATGCCATTGGCCTTGAACAGCATAGACAACTGGATCTCTTAGTCTCCCCGAATCTGTAAATTTGCATTGACATGAACCATCCTGCCAGATATCACCCAACTGTCATTAATCTCAGAGATGATTGAGTGGATAAAACCTTTTCCTTCTAGATCTAAAGGTTTATCTCACTTTTGATGGAGAGTTTAATATGCAATGGCAACAGTTACCCCGGAAATTTATAGTTGTCACTGTTATAATTAACATCAAACTCTTTTTGCCCCTTCTTCTTCCTGCTAACCACAGCACAGGCAAACCAGATGGGAAGACATGTGCCAGTTTGGGCATGGTGACTGGTGTGGTGTTCCTAGAGGAGTAGTTGCCGTCCCGTTTTAGGATAAGAGCAACCGTCGCCATTCCAGTCGTTCAGCCCCTGGTGCCTGCCGAGAGAACCCACCACTGATGTCGACTGTGATGGATGTGAAGGATGTTAAGTTGGGATGATAAGGATTGAGACTGGGGCCAATCATGGGCAGCATCCCGTGGGATTATCGAGGTTACAATTGATTTTCTCGTGCAAGGAACGGTCCTAAGGGCAATCCAAGTCGTAGTACTACCGGACAATCCTCGCCAACGTCGTGTACAACTGTCAAGTACGGTACTGTACTTCGAAAAGAACACCGAGCAGGACTCTGAGATTGTTTGGTACAATGCATCCATAGATCGGGGTTGGATTCGCCTCGTGTCGAAGTTCTAGACATTGAGATTAAGTTCCCCTTATTCTTGCTAATTGTTTATTTTACTTTTACTTATTTTTAAATTAATTTTCTTTTTTTAATTCGTTTGCCTCTCTGGCATTTTTATTTGGGTTTCCCCTATTCCCCTTACCGGTGGCTCGACCAGAGTTGAACCAACCACTAACCTTGAGGGCTTGCGAATCAATTACCATACAGGTAATTCATCTTATTAGGGCCTAAACTTGAAACAGGTACCCCCCACAGCTTCGACTTGTCACGTTTCGTTTTCCCGGCCTGCGATACCTTGGACCTTTCTTTCTTATCTGCCCTGCTTCGCTCACCGTTCTTTTCCATTCTTCTCTCTCTCTCTCTTCATCACTCTCCTGTCCTCTGCTTCTTAAATACTGCAGTTTCCCTGCAGCACTCTCTCCTTCTATGCTTAGCCTCGCCCGCAGAACCCTGAACCGCGTCCCCAGCTTCCAGGATATCCTACAAGGCAGGATGACCCACCCAGACATGTAAGTACTCGCCAGACTCAGGGGCTTGTTTCGCAATGCACTGACACAGGGTCTTGCTCGACTACAGTTCCGTTGACGTTCTCGTCATTGGTGCCGGCCCTACTGGTCTTGGTGCCGCCAAGCGTCTCAACCAGATTGTACGATTCTCGAATCTTGCGCCGTATCCCCCGAATAATATAACTGATTGCCGTCATTTTAGGATGGTCCATCTTGGTTGATCGTGGACAGCAATGAAACTCCTGGTGGCCTTGCTTCCACTGACGTGACCCCCGAAGGCTTCGTATGTACTATAATCCAATTGCTTCGTTAAGGCGGCATAGCTAATAAGGCGATAGCTCTACGACGTCGGAGGTCACGTTATCTTCTCCCACTACAAGTACTTCGACGACTGCATCGACGAGGCTCTTCCCAACGAGGATGACTGGTACAGCCACCAGCGTATCTCTTACGTCCGTTGCCAGGAGCAATGGGTCCCCTACCCCTTCCAGAACAACATCTCCATGCTTCCCAAGGAGGAGCAGGTTAAGTGCATCGACGGTATGATCGATGCTGCTCTCGAGGCTCGTGTGGCCAACACCAAGCCCAAGAACTTCGACGAGTGGATCGTTCGCATGATGGGAACTGGTATCGCCGATCTCTTCATGCGTCCCTACAACTACAAGGTTTGGGCCGTGCCCACCACCAAGGTACGTTGATGCTCTGGTAGACCGATATTGTGCATTAGAAGACAGATTGGCTGATGGTTCGCGACTTCAGATGCAATGTGCTTGGCTCGGTGAGCGTGTCGCCGCCCCCAACGTCAAGGCCGTGACCACCAACGTTATTCTTAACAAGACCGCCGGTAACTGGGGTCCCAATGCCACTTTCCGTTTCCCCGCTCGTGGCGGTACTGGTGGCATTTGGATTGCCGTCGCCGACACTCTTCCCAAGGAGAAGACCCGTTTTGGTGAGAAGGGCAAGGTGACCAAGGTCAACGCCAACAACAAGACCGTCCAGCTCGCCGATGGCACCACTGTCGGCTACAAGAAGCTCGTTTCCACTATGTCTGTGGATTTCCTTGCTGAGGCTATGGGTAACCAGGAGCTTGTTAGCCTTTCTAAGGAGCTCTTCTACTCTTCTACTCACGTCATTGGTGTTGGTATCCGTGGCTCTCGCCCCGACAGAATCGGTGACAAGTGCTGGTTGTACTTCCCCGAGGACAACTGCCCCTTCTACCGTGCCACCATCTTCTCCAACTACTCTCCTTACAACCAGCCTGAGGCCTCTAAGAAGCTTCCTACCCTCCAGCTGGCTGACGGCTCCAAGCCCGAGAGCGACGACGCCAAGGAGGGACCTTACTGGTCCATCATGTTGGAGGTCTCTGAGTCTTCCATGAAGCCCGTCAACTACGAAACACTCCTTGCCGAGTCTATCCAGGGTCTCGTCAACACTGAGATGCTGAAGCCCACCGACGAGATCGTCTCCACATACCACCGCCGCTTCGACCACGGCTACCCCACTCCCTCTCTGGAGCGTGAGGGCGCCCTCACCCAGATTCTCCCCAAGCTTCAGAACCTGGATATCTGGTCCCGTGGCCGCTTCGGTAGCTGGCGCTACGAGGTTGGCAACCAGGACCACTCGTTCATGCTTGGTGTCGAGGCTGTGGACAACATTGTCAACGGCGCCGTTGAGCTGACCCTCAACTACCCTGACTTCGTCAACGGCCGACAGAACACTGAGAGGCGTCTGGTTGACGGAGCTCAGGCGTTCGCCAAGGGCAAGTCCCTGTAAGCGGCGCTATAGATCATGACCGGTTTAATATTGAATGATTCAAGGGGTAAAATCTTTAGATATACATTATGGGCAACGGGAGCCATTAATTTCATTTGGAGCGATATTTGGGAGATGGTCATTGCTGGGCATTTGATGTGAATCAGCGTCTTCTACATTCCTGCTAGATTCTTTTTCTATCTATACATTTTTCTTTTCATTTTGATTCTAGACTTGAACCAGGGCTCTTGCGCATTGGTCATGTGTTACTAGGCAGACTGTTTGATATATAGCTTTTTGGGGATCATCAAATGTCAAAATACCCTTTGTGTTGCATCTGCGTGGTTCTCTGTGACGAGAAGCGAGCGAAGTATGGCATCGTTACGAAACAAATGAGCATTCCAGACACGTAATCTTGGACATATACGGAGTATACAACCATCACACGAGCACCAAGACGCAGAATTTGCCTGACTCGGTTGATTGTCTCCCGCACAGGCAAAAATGCCGAGCTTCTCGTTTTCCTCCGTCTGGAGCTGTCCGCTCGGCACTTGATCCAGTGGGTTTGGACCGAGAACACCAGAGTAGCTCTGACCCTAGTGGAGGACCCTAATTAAGGGTTCTCTCCATGGTTAAATTACGATAGACGCCTCTAGGATGATGACATTGACGCTATCTCTGCAAGAGGGACGTCGAGGCGTCGACGAGCACTCAAGCTCGGACACTGAGATATATCAGGATCTGCAGAGCTATTGATTGCTTGAGATGCACGCGCCTCAAGTTTTAATTAAAGTGCCGACAACGATCATGGCCATCGGTCAGGAGTTGTCTACCACTAGTCCATAGTGAATACTGGCGTGACTTCGAAGCTAACACCCCTACGAAAATGCCGATCTCCACATCCAGGCTCGCATCGTCCAATCGAAGCCGTGGCGGGTTCGGACGCGTCAGTTCTCCATCCTGAGATGACCTCATCGTCGCTATAATTAAAACATCGTCTGCACCCCGTCAGAGATAGATATATGCTGTTCCCTTTTGCGTATCTTAAATCAGAAAGGTGATGTGGCGAGTTGTTCGTTTCCTTGCTTATTGTTGCCACTGCGGTGAGATACTCTATATTAGTTAGGGCCTTAGGTACACAGTCCCTACTAATAGCGTACGGAGTACATGGAGTGCTCATACTTTTACCAATCATTGACCCAGAATTATACGATCTTTCGATGCATGTTTCATCCTCGCCTATCATGTCAGACGTAGATTCGTCTGACAGATGCGTGTCTCAGTTAGAATCTTACCCATGATATAGTTATCACTTCTACTGGCTGATATAAAAAGAGCCCATGTTCATTGGTCAGTTATATCAATAAGTACATGGGGAAGCCCCTGATATCATATTATATTTAGGTACTTTTGTTCTCATGGCTTATTTCCTTGCATCTAATACGTCCTCGCCCCCTCGATCTCGGTCCACGTCATGGTAATCATCCAGATGTAGCTGTATGCGCCTTGAGAAGCCTCGATCGAATCTGATGGAGGTATACTGATAATTCCTGGAGAATCTATTTTGCGGCTCATGTGATGAAAACACCGGTAGATCACAGATGGCGATAATATAATCGCTTTTGATGGAATCTATACTACTACATAGTCGTGGTGGTAATTTTATCCACTTTTTACTGTTTACTTGCCGTCATGAACCTCTTACTTTTGTCTATAGTGAAAGACTTAATGAAACCGATCTGATCAATTGGTAATAATACATACACATATCATAAACCTGCATACGTACAAAGGAAAACACAAGTTCTGAACATAGCGGCGTATGATACAAGAAGCAAAAAGCCTACCCGAATACCGGATACTCTCAGCATAACACCCTGGCTGTAGTAGCAAATTATGTCCTTACTGCCTAGAGAGCCATTAGGGCTGGATAGCTGCATGTCTCGCTCTTCATATGTGACATGAAAGAGGCGGTCTCGAAGGATGCAGCGACGCCAAGCTCATGAATAGACCATAAGAAGCATTGAGTGAGCTCTAAATGCGCTCGCCCTTATGATCGAAACATTTGATGAAGCCATGATCATTGGATATAGCGGCGTCTTATGCTCAGCCTTTAGAATAGGCAATAATTGCTTTGTATGTATGTGACATGGAAGGGGAAGCTCACCGAGATTGTATTCCGTTAGCTGGACTACGTTCGGATCATCATCACGTTGACAAAGCATCTTTGGACTCGACGAACGCTCGTATGTCGACTGGTGGCATTTAGAATAGCTGTAGAGCCCATTGCCACTGTTTACAGTTTAGCTAGGACAATCTTTTGACGACGTGCTTTTTCGAGTGGAATGAACGGCGTGGGGTTACTTGCTTGTTCTTTATTTCGTTTTGGCCAAAGCAATGGTTCAGGTCTAACTGGGAGGTAATTTCGGTCCCATCGCCGACCGCGCAGGTTGCAACCAGGTGATGAGCTGCATGACCTGGCTTGTCGCCGGGCAAATTGAGCCCGCCCATCTTGATGTCTTTGCAGGAGAAACTGAAGTTCCCCGCGTTCGGGTCCCGGGGAAGCAGATCAGTGATGCCTAGCGGCGTGGCCAGAGCTGCCAAAGGCAGAGCGATGAAGGGTAGAAGTAGACGCATATTTGTTTTTGGTAAACTGATGGTAGTGAGCTTGATGATATGTGTGCTTCCAAAGGGCATCCAGAGGACCTATTTATATTTATCCTCATTGTACCGTGTTGGAGTGGACATTATATCCGATAAACGCCTCGGATAGACTTTTTATGAGATTTCACACCCCCAGTGAGGTGTGTTTCTTTGTTGCCCTACCTATATCTGGATGCCCCGTCCTTGTTGGGCAAACTGGGCAACGCCACGCGGGGCACTGGACTATGCCTTTAATTTTAATTCTTTCGACAGGAGCAAATCTCTTCCATTGTGATTATTGACTTGCCAAACTCTCCGGTATGTAAGAACATAGAGGGCGTAACGATTCTTGCAAAGACTCTCCAGAGTCGAGGTATCACGGCGGTGCGGACAGTGAAGAACTCAAACCTCACCATATTCATATTGGTGAAAACGGGCAACGCAATTGGAAGATAGCACGGGGCACGCGTGGGGGTAAGATCATAAGGCGATTCTAATTCTGGGGGACAACTCCCCAGAGTTGTTCAGAAGAGCTATACATGATCACGCCCGGGCGAGTATGTAGTATTCCCGTTAGGATCTAGACCTACCCGTGCTAAATATGGCACCTATATAGGTTAGACAGTCAGCAAATCTATGATACCTAATATAAGAATAATTAGATATTTTCCAGGCCACTGTATTTGAGATTCCTTCTATCGAGTCACCTACCCCACTATCACACTAAAGGTAAAAGGCTCACAGGGACTCCCGAGCAAGGTATCGATCGATTAGGTGGTATATATAGGGTGGCCTATCTCATACAAGAGATCACATAATACATCGTATATCCGTAGTGGTGGCTCGTGGATTTGGGAACTCGTCCCATGCTAGTATGCATATGTTCGCATCTTACAGCTTCCAAAAGCAGACTTTCTATACTCCTGTTATCCTGGGACTAACCAGTCCTGTTATAGGCAGTGATCCTCTCTGGAGATTGTTGCTCGGGTACTAACTACATTCGACGTGCCCGTCTGTACGCTTTTGTGTATTGCCTTTATAGACAGGCAGTTATACCTGCACTTGGCTTGCTTCTAACGTCGTGACGCAATAACATCGTGTAACTGTTCGTGGGACAAGAACTCAGTCAGGCAAGAGACCGAGCTCACCCCTGGTCACCAGCCATAAATCGCTCCACTAAACACCAACACAGACATAATACCCTAGCCACAGAGTCGTACAGGAAGACCCCACGTACGGATTCCAGCTGGCAAACTGCGTGGAGGTAATGGAGTACTCTTGCTCTATTGACCAGCAGCTATCGCCACTAGCCACAAGATGCCACTTGGCGCATGAGCTGATGGTGTCCGGCATCGGCCCTTCACGCTTCGTCGCAACGCAGTAGTAATACCCTTGTTGCAGGTTACTGCAGCTTGGGCCGATCGCCGGATTCCATTCGTAGAATTTGGCTGCGGTGAGGTAGGAGTACTTCTTATTGATGATTGACCAGCAGTCGTCCCCTTCTTGGGCCTGGTAGTAGGCCGAACAATCGGCGATAATGCCAGACTGCGTGGGAGTGGGCCCAGTGCCGGCGGTCGTTGTTGTGCTAGTTGTAGTCTTTGTCGTGGTTGCGTGGGTCGTTGCGGTGCCACCTATCGCTTCGTGTTAGTTTTTGTGCGCGATAGGAGGAGACAGGCGGCAGTGATATTACCGGAAACACCAACGCAGACCCAATAGCCTGCCTGGAGGCTGCTGCAAGTTGAGCCGACTGCGGGATTCCAGGAGTAGAAGTCACTAAGTGTGATACCGTTCTTGGCTGCAATCAGAGCACATTCATCGCCAGCTTCTACGAAATAGTAATTGTTACCTAGGGGATAGTTAATTGGGACCTTAGGTCAAATGGAAACCACATATGGGGGGTAGAGTAAGGTAGCATACAGATAGATATAATCCCACTTTGCTGGGGCGAGTGGGGTGCAGATGTGGTTGTTGGTGAGGCCGTCGTTGCTTTGGAGGTGGTAGTTGAAGCAGTGGACCCGGCGACGCCAACGCAGACATAGTAGCTTGGCTGAAGTCCGGAACAGTCGGTTTTCACAGCACTGGCCGATGCACAAGCCGTTAGTGATGCGGCCATTCTCTCGACTTAGAATCAAACTCACGGGTTCCATGAGTAAAATTGTTCTACTGTAAAGTTGCCATATGTATTGGCAATACCCCAGCAGGAATCATCCTTCTGCACGTAATAGAAGGCATTGCAAGAGGAGATCAACCCAGGTTGAGTGGGAGATGGGCCTGCCGCGGTGGTCTTAGTGGCGCTTGCACCTGTCGAGGTAGAGGTGGTAGTGGCTGGAGCCTCTGTAGTTGTGGTTGTCTTCTCGGTGGTGGTCGGAACCGTCGGAGCTTCCACACAATAGCTCCATTTCTCATTCAGCGTGCAGTCAGTCGCTTTCAGGGATGGGTTCTACGGCAAGGACTCGTGTTAGCAGTCAGCAATCTTGAATTCTATCATCAAAAGCGTTTTGTTTCTGCCTTACCCAGGAAACAAGCTGCGCATGAGTGATGCCGTAGTAGCTCTCCAATGCCGCACAAGTGTCGGTGGACTGGATCGAGTTGGCCCAGTAGGTACAGCCACTGTTTACATTTGGGTCCGTTTCACCAGTTGCAAAATCCGCACTAGAGAAGCGTTTCCCGAGTGTAGCAGCGTTTACTGCCCCGAAGAGCGACAGTCCTAGAATCTGAGCCAAGATCATGATGAAACGCAATCCGGTGACTCAGATTGACTAAGGTACGACACTATCTATTCCAAATCGACGGGAAATAGGGATATCAGGCATGCGCTGTCTCTTTCACCATGCTACGCGTGCAGCCCACCGAAGTTGTAGACCTAAAGAGGGACGGAACTATTAGAGCCTTTCATGGTGAGGAAATCAAGCGCCAACAGCAACGGAGTTTATAGGTAGCCGGCCGATGCATGCCACCAAAATTTCTTCCGTTAAACTAGTGATAGGACTGGATTGAACTATGAGGAGGCCATGACACAAGTCGCCTCTACTCAATATCTCACGTTATGGTTACATTGAACGCAAGTGACCTATACCAAGTGTGACAGGGATGCAGAGCCCAGCTAACTGCGTCGGAAGAAGGCATATTAAAAATGAGAATGGCATGATAATTCACATAGTGGAGCACAGTTGGGTGCCTGGCAGAAAATCCAATTTGCCATGCAGTTTGAGATAGTACAAGCTCCATCTCGTGCCATTCGTCGTTGAGATCCACTTATTAAACAGTGAAGATCTAGAGCCCGGAAGAGCCGGGAGGAGCCGGGCCTTGGAGATCCAGACCAGATGTACATTTGAGATTAAAATTGCGCCGTTACATCGGGCATTAAACCTTGTATGTTTCTATACCTACCGTGACAACTTTCAGCAAGCAATGGAATCCTTGGAGCAAAGTTATGCCTGATTAGGTGCTGTTAAGGCGCGTATATAGCGCAAGAACCATATTCATCCTAGTGAGAATGCACTGGCGTCCAAAGAGTGCTTGCCCCACAAAGGGGTGGTCACGGAGGTACAAAGGGTTTTAGAAACGAAACGGGTCAGGAAGAAAGACTTAGGGGTGATATACCAGGACTACTATGCATCCACAGGAGCTAGGGTAGTGCCAATTAGTTAGTAGGTCATAGTGCTATCGGTGTAACGGATCGTATTGATCGCGAATAACGACACTAACGACACGAAGGAACGGCAACTTCGGAACATACCCTTCCCGTCGTGTATGTGTTGCTAACATGGTGGATATAGCATTGTTATGTTGGCGATGTTGCTTGCGCGCAGGGTAGCTGGGATATCGGTATGATGGTTGTATTCGTGTTATCAATGTTGTGGTACTAACTTTTGGGAAGGATACACTATTACAGACACTCATTGCCTTGGCTATCTTACTACTGAACACTACGTATATGGGCCTTTATCTGACAGTGCCAATACAATCACAAACACTCTTAATTAGGTGCTGAACAAGAATATTGGGGTGCACACCAGCGTTGTATCATAGTATAAAAGAATTCAAGCAATAACCTTTCTGCCGACCAGTCGGAGGTGTGATCGGGTCTTCAATCTCATATGAGGTAGCTGGCATCCGGAAGTCTGGATCATCCAGAACATTCCAAACTTGTTCCGTCATCCAAAGGTCAATTGCCCCTATTCTATCATGTAATTCTTGATCTGCGAATTTTGACAAAAGGACCATTGCCTCTTCATACTTCCTTTCCGCCGCGAGCTGCATATCGGACCGCCCTGGGGGGACATCCTTGTCTAGAAGAAGCTTCAGAATATCCAAGTGCCGAAAATGTATCGCAAACCCAACTGGACCCAAGTTATAGATCTCATCATAGCCTTCTTCGTCCCTCGTGTTTAAACTGTGTGTTAGATTTGGGTTCACCTCATTGTCAATGAGCATTTCAACCATCTCATATTGGCCTTCCATAATCGCGATAAATAATGGTTCGAAGTAAAACTTAAGCTTCAGTCCGTAATCGAGAAGGAGTTGCAGTAGAGCTTTATCATTTCGACGTATAATATGACCCAGGCCTTCGTTATCGTGCGGCTGCATACCATGCTTGAGCAAAAGCTCGACTAGTTGTGGCTGATCCGTGCATATCGCTAGCTCGACGGGACATGGGCTCTCATAGAAACCGGATCGTGCCCCTAACTCAAGAAGCCGGGGAATAATGGAATTATTTCCGGAGTCAATAGCGACACTCAGTGCTGAGAGAGCCATATGATGTTTTCCTGCGGGATCTAAAGGGGCATTATTCTCAATCATCAACTCCACAAGGTCACTGGTGCGCGAGCGGATGGCCCAATGAAAAACAGTACGTAGCTGCGCTGGTGAAGAGGCTCGACCTGGTCTTTTCTCGGATAGCATGGCCCTGAGGGTTCCAAGATGCCCACCCTGGGCAGCAGCTAAGAGCGGATTGACTTCGGAAAGGTCAACCAAGTTATCCGGGTCGTAGGTGGCTTCAGTTGGGCTTTCATAGGAGGAGATGTTCGCGCCGGCATCAAGCATTCTTGTCACCAGATCGGTATATCCATTTCGCGCGGCCCAGAGTAGGGCCGAGCTTCGATGATGCTCGACATTGAACCGACACAGAAAAGCATACAGGGCATGGTGTAGAGTCTTGTTGGTCCGTACAAGAGCGCTGATGTCTTTCTGATTGTGCAAGCTTTGTGCAGTTAGAATAAGCAGTTCAAGTGGCAGTTGATCTAACCGGGCCATGATATCGAAGGGTTCCAAAGGACTTTTTCTTTAAATAAAAGGGTGGCCCTGAAGAGGTTGCGTTAAGGACTAGAGTACGTGGAAGGGAGAATGTCGATGGAGGGGTGGGTCACATGTTCCATGTTACCCTACTAATTTGCAGTAGTAAGTCACGCTTGGCTAGATCCCTATGTTCTTTTACCAGCTTGGAATATTCTAAAATAGAAATGTGTACACAATCACCTGGAGTAATCCAGAGTTTTAATAACTTATCTATACCATGCCCCGGTTCTTCAACTTATGCAAGCACAAAAGCGAAGACCGGACTTTAGAGCAACCATCAATGGTCAGAAGTTCGATATCAATAAAAAGAGGATTACCAGGCCATACATAATTTAACAATCCTGGCCCTTTCATAGGAACTATCCCACACCCTCACCCACCGATAGGTTGGCGAAAGCTAGTTAATACACTTGTCTCACCTAGTATATGAACGGTAAATACTGATCCTCTCCGGACGTGGTTTTTCTTTTGTAATCGGCGATACTATCCTCCCCGCACTTGGCCCCTTTCCCCGACCAGTCACACCTGGAGTAATACAGGGCTTTTTGGCCGCAACCATAGATTAGCGTACAAACCAGCTGCAGTAGTGGTTTTGGTAGCTTACGAACCTAGAGCAAAATATGCGAGTGTATCTAGTAGGCCTTAGTAAATAAAATCAAAACTCAAGAAAGAACCAAAAAGTGTTTCAGCGTACCGGCATTTCTGACAGCAAGCTCCGGGCGGGTCCACGCAAGTGCTGCAATGTTGTATGCCTGGTACGCCGCCCTGGTCCGTCCACGCAGAGTTGCGACCTGGTCACCTGAAGACGATATGCTGTCAGCTCTCGAAATTGAAAGACTAGCTCTAATGATAGGGCATACCTGTCTTATCCTCCCCGAGGATGTGTTCACAATGAGTGAGCTCATGAAGAAGTGTACCGGCAGCAGCTGTAAATTTCATGTCATCCAAGGTCTTGCCATTCAAAGCGGCCATATCATTAGCGTATTGGGAAAGCTTGTTCGCTGTATTAGTTCTTCTGAATGTACTCGGACAGATAGTTATCTCGTCCTTCAATGTGACATCGTTCTTGAGAGCCCATCCGTGGGCACTTTCACTCTCATGGCATAGCTTCGCAGTAGCCGATACTCTCAATCCCGTGGATGCCTCACCCTCGGGCCGCGTGTCTTTATACACACCTGTGGATTATTTAATTTTAGCTATTATCGCCCGTATTAAAGGTCAACATGCTAAGTAAAACCCACGCTCTGTTTGGTCACTTTCCTCGGGTTGGTAAACCAAGAAGTGGTCGTTGCAGTGAATCGTGACTGTGAGTGTTGAATCCGTTAAGGCCTGGTGAATTTTTTGGTAAATTGCTATCACACATCGTCAATTAGTGTATTTATTCCCTTCTTCAACACTGTTAAGTCATTCGATTCACGTCGGATTATTGGAGAGAAGTACGAAGTAGTACTAACAGGATAATAGCGTCATCCGTTGCGCTATCGTAACCCATGAATTCAATCGTTGTTCGGGCAGCTCTTTTGTAGCAGGATTGAATTTGATCCACCCTATAAACCTCTGAAACGTGTTAAGAAGTCGCCTGTTTTCAGAATAACGAGTTCCCCAATCTTTAGGCTGCTCTTTCTCCTTAATGACGTTTCGTATTATCCTGAGTTGCTGCTGTGCCTGGACCAACTATCCGGACTGTTAGCTGCACCGCTTACAAAGTTTCTATGACTGTGTCCACGAGGAACCCATTGAGCAAAAATATTCACTTACCACAAGCTTGATTTCATCAAGTTCCTCCTTGATATATCTTTGTTGAGCGCCGTCACATGTTGAAGAGAATGTCACTCCGGGGTAGTCCAAGGCCTTCTTAGAGAGATGCCTGTGCGGGATGCCGGAATCATTGGCTTTCAGGGCATATTCTGCAAGGTCAGGGGGGATTTCAAAAGGAAAGGCAGTTGTATAAGGCAAAAGGAGTGTCCACAGGAATAGTTGGATTCCCACTGTCCAGTTAAGGAAAGACTGAAAATGAATGCGGACCTTCATTATGAGGATAAAAGAGAGTAAATGAAGAGATGGTCAGTGGTGAAAAGAGCGATATCAAAAGTAGAGATGAAATAGAGACAGATTGAATTACTTAAACAGTGTTGATAGATTGACTGCCTTCGTGGATGGTCTCGATGCGATATCTATTCTTACACCCATTACATGACCAAACACGTCTTGTATCGCACTCAGTGCCAAATAAATGGCTCGTATTAGTTCTGACCCACGCTGGGTGGACATGGGTGTAGGTAGCATTCGATTCTTTCCCAAGCCCATGTCCCAACGGGACATCTCTAAGAAGCGATGCATCCTTGGACTGTAATTGACATGGTCAAATGCGAGGCTAGCCATACATTGGAGCCTATCGGGAGCCATATTACACCACTATTACAGAATAATCTATCCATTGGGATATTGTGCGCAGAGAATAATCTTCTTGCAAATGCTATGGCACCATCTCATATCCAATAGTCCTCTTCGGCCACCTTACTCCACGGCGCTATTGCATATTCCTAAACAAAAGTAGGTCTCATCTCGGAACGGAGCTAAGTCCTTTCCAGGGGAAACAATCTATGTGCTCTCCTGAGTGATAAGCTAAAGGATGAAAGCCGGAATAACGGTTCGATGGCTGTGCAAACTTCCCGAGCGTCTTGAAGTGAGATCCTTGTCTTGATACTATACCTCTCCAACATAGGCTAGCTATCCTGGGGCGAGACCGTGAGTCTAAACACTATGTAACCTCATAAAATTGGCTCTAACTAATTTCGTCAAGCATTACAGTAGTGCAAGGCCCAGGTGGTGTTGATTTCTTGGTGTCTGCGTCGGTGTAGATCTAGTTCGTGCACTAAAGTATGCAACATCGGCCCACACGCTTGGTCCAACGGAAGTTTGTCTGAGACCACAGGACCATGTGGGGATATACAATTGAAGCATAGTATTGTTCGGCTTTTTCTTTGTCGCCCCTTTACAGCTAATTTGATTATGTAGTTAGGCAGGAGATATAGCAGGGACGCAGAGTTGCAGACTTAGAGTTAACGAGCAGGATCTGACTAATGTACAACGGTGGTCCCTGACAATAAATAACAAATGTATAAGAACCCTGAGCAAAGCCCAAACCGGTCATATTCACCATCTGTTGTACTTAGGTTTCATTAAACGTTCCATAGTCATGAAATATCCGACAATAACAGCATGGTTGCTGTTCAGCGGCTCATGCATGGTTCCCTCTGCCGAAGCCGGAATGGGAACCTGCTCCGAGACCGAGAAATGTGAAACAGGATGCTGCTCAAAGGAAGGATTCTGTGGCTTTGGTCCTAGCTTTTGTAGCAAGGATGTCTGTATCTCAACATGCGATGCGATAGCTGAGTGCGGTAGTAAGTACTTTTATGACAGGGCTTATGCCAGTGATTAACCAATATCTAGAATACGCAAAAGTTCCTGGCACAGAGTGTCCATTGAATGTGTGCTGTTCTGAATTTGGGTATGCATAGGGGGCTACGTTTTACGACCGCTTGCTAAGTATAGGTAGATTCTGTGGCACCACAGCCGAGTTCTGTGGGAAAGGATGTCAGAGTGGGTGCGATCCAGTCAATCGGCCGTATGTCTCTAGATTTGTGTCAACCCCGTCCAGTTAGCCGCTATTGACACCATATATCAGATCTTGCTCAGGAACATCAAGTGAAGCGATGTACATTGGCTACTATGAGGGATGGAACCCTGATCGACCGTGCGACGTCGTGCTGCCGGAGAATATCAATGTTAACCCCTGGACTGTGCGTTGCCTCTGGCTCAGTGAGTATCTGTATAGAGCAGTAGCAGTGCTAATAATGTGTGTCAGCATTTGTATTACTCATTCGCAGGAATTGATCCGTCCGATTTTACAATCACCACTACTAATGCCAATGACAAGACACACTGGTCCAAGTTCACCGCATTAAAGAAGAAGAAGCCTTCACTAAAGACGTATATCTCGGTAGGAGGCTGGGACGTTGGAGGCAAAGTCTTCTCTGATATGGTGCGGTTTCCTGGTACACGAAAGGCGTTTATTGACTCGGCTATCTCCATGATGACTGAGTATGGCTTTGATGGGATTGATATTGACTGGGAGTACCCTGCTGCTGAGGATCGTGGTATGCTATCTTCTTGCGCTGAGCGTGTATAACAATACGCATGCCCTAGTAGCACGTCCCAATCAGATGCTAATTACAAGCAGGTGGCGCTCCAAGGGACACTGCAAACTTGGTGAAATTCCTTTCTGAGCTCAGAAACGCAGTGGGAACCAAATTTGGTCTCACAGTTACATTACCATCTTCGTACTGTCAGTTGGAGTCCATTTATAAATCCATGGATGTTTCAGTTAAGACTGATACTGACTATGGGACAGGGTACCTGAAGGGCTTCAACATCGCCGATATGGCGAAATATATCGATCATTTCAACTTCATGTCCTATGATATCCACGGAACCTGGGACGGCCGCACCAGTAAATGGACGAGCTCTGTTGTTAACCCTCACACAAACCTGACCGGTATGTTCATAATGCAATGTTGAGTCGCATCTCCTCCCTTCCAAGTGGCAATGGAATTAAGACCCGACAGAAATATCCGCTGGCCTTGATCTTCTGTGGCGCAATGGAGTTGAACCCAGCAAGGTTCTGCTCGGTTTGGGGTTTTATGGGCGCTCCTTCAAACTGGCCGATGCCACCTGCAACACTCCTGGTTGTGACTTCTACACCGAGAACCATAGCACCGGAGGCGCGGTTGCTGGCGAATGCACTGGAACCAGTGGCTTTCTATCAGACTATGAGATCAATCGAATTATCAGTGACTATTCAGTTGATGTCCACTATGATGAGGCTGCAGCTGTCAATTGGATGACCTGGAGTGGAGATCAGTGGTATGTGCACTCAGAACTTTCATTCATCCCCTGATATTCCATTCCTATTGGCGCCCTGATGACTGACTGCCATGGTATCTAGGGTTTCCTTTGATAACGGCCATACGCTCAAACAGAAGGCTGACTTTGCCAATGGTAAATGCCTGGGTGGGCTCTTCAGTTGGGCTCTCGACCTTGGTGGCCCTGGCTCTATGAAAAACCCCAACGGGATGACGGCAGATGATACTAGTATGGACGGGGCGAGTGCTGAGGGAGGCAGTGATGGAACTGGTCTTCTGTACGCGGGGCAGGAGATTTTCGGTGATTCACCCACCGTGACTGCCATTGCCCCTGTCAGCATCATTTTCCCTAAGTCTGTTATGAGCACCCCGACAACTATTGACTTTGGAGCCGGTTATCCAACCTCCTTGGAGGTGGCATGGCGGACCACCAAAACAGTCACTGTTGACGGTATCGCGACTGTCACTTCGACAGTTACGCGGTATATAATGCCGACGACTATTCCACTACCGCCTATTACCACAAACACTGTCAACTACTATAACTGGAACATTAGTGATATTGTCACTGTCAGCAGGGGGCTCCTTATTCCAAGTTTTGAGATTCCACCGGTTGTAGTGACCAATCATCCAAACCCGCTGAACGAGACAAGCGTCACTCACTCACCCCTTGCAACTCGCACAGTTAGTATTCCTCCATGGCCGTGGACTACTGATGGGACCCAGTATCCTACAATTACTTTTACTCAAGGTCATCCTCCTGGTCCAACTTGCACCGCCAATTGCGGCCATAAATGTTACAGCTTTTGCAATGGACCCTGTCTAACTGACTGTGGAGTGGGGAGCACATCCAGCTTCGTTGACCCAGAGGATCCCGATGCTCCTTCGGTCAGCAAATGCTCAGGCCCTGGTTGTTTGAATGGAAGGTGCACTGATCGTGGGCTCTGTATTGAGAGAGGCTGTACTGGCAAGGACTGCAAGAACCGGATTTGTGTTGGAGATGAATGTATTCCCACGGCCTGTGCGGGCCCTGACTGTGATAGTGGGCACTGTAATGGTGATAAATGCCAGGACCACGGTTGCATTGGTAAGGATTGCGATGGTAAGGGTGGCAAAAGCGACAACGACAACGACGACAACAATGACGACGACGACGACAACCATGGCGGCGGTGGAAGAAGCTCAGGCCGGTGTTTTGGGCCTTCCTGCCTCTCTTGGGGCTGTATAGGTAGCCAATGCTCCCACACCGACTTTACCTGCAAAGGCCCCCAGTGTCGCGTTGTAACATGTTCCGGTCCCGGCTGCAGTAATGGTGTCTGCACGGGAAAGGGCTGCAAGACTGAAGACTCCGATTGCGAGCACCAAGAGGCAGATAGCTGTACAGCATACATAACCAGTCTGCTGGTTACACCTGTCTCGACCTATTCAACCACTACAGTGACTAGCCGCTGTGAAACAATCACGGCTTGCGCGGCTAGACCGACGACGGTGACCAGCACTATCGACAAGAATGGTTTGAACGAAGGCACTATTTCCAATATTGATTACGCCATGAGTGATGATCCATCGCTCGCAAGCTATCTTGATGAGCAATTGAGCAGCTTCTTCGACTCAGCGTTTGCCACCGCCACAACCACTACCAGCACTACGAGCACGGCCGAAACTACAACCTCTTCAACGAAGACGACCTCTACAACACCTACACCATCTGAAACAGGCTTGGAATGCGGAGGCTCCCGTATGTGTAAAACCTTTCCCAAGATTCACGCCTTCTGCGATATGGCCAAGAGCTTCCTGAAAGACAACACAGTATACGGGTAGGTCCTTCACTTCAATCCGTCAAACGGGAGATACTGAGATTGTGAGCAGCAACACGAAAAAAGGCATGGACACTGGGGCCTGTTATACGGACGGTAAGAATGCTGGTTACGGTTGTGGTGTCTTCGTTGAAGGCAAAAATTGCCAAATGACCGGGGCTGAATTGGCTGCGTGAGTTCATCTCGTTTCACTGTCTATATTAGCCTGACTGACTTCTCTGTAGTACCTACGATCATATTTATCAAAAGACTGGCGGAGGCTGCACAAAGTGCGGCCGTGCATATTTATCAAATGGATGCGAGGTGCATGCCGACTATGTCAGTAAATGCCATAATACAAATGGCGTTCTGGTGCCATATCCAGGGAATGACTCTGATGTCATGACGGCTTCATCCTCGGCCGCCCAAACACTGACATTGGAGGGCTGAAGGCTTGGTGTTATTACTAAACTCATTGTATAAATAGGACTGCAGCATTAACATATCTAGAAGCACAGCGGAGCCAGACCTCCTAGTCTACGTGTCACTGCGCTATGTGCGTATTCGCTGTATATCTCGTGTAAAATGGCTGGACAAAATACATCAGTGGATATTTGTATGAGGTCTAGCGTATAACTATAGTTTATACTACTAATTACTTTTGGTTAGTTCAGTAGCTCTTAAGCCGTTAGTTCTGATGGCAGTGACTAGCATAAAGTCCTGGGTAGGTAGCCACTTCTCTTTGAGTCCCCTTCTTCTCCCACCTGCAGCCAAAGCTTTCAAAAATGATCCCCTATCCTTTGCTCTTTCTAGCTTTCCTACACCTAAGGATAGTGCTAGGTGCGCTATCCCTAGATGAACTCGCCCCCAAAATCAACCATCTCCGGTCCCAACGTCGCTCAAAACCTCTCCATGAAGTGGAGCTAGTCTCCCCCTCTCGTCTCAAGCTTCTAAACACCTTGGAGCCCGAAAGACGGAGAACATACAGCTTGAACTGGGCCGGCGCGGTACTCCACAACCCAGCCCCAAGCGCAGCATACACCTACGTCTCGGCAACCATAACTGTCCCAACTCCAACTCCCAGCCCAAGCGACAGCACTACCTACCAGGCTGCTTCTGCTTGGGTCGGCATTGACGGCGTTACCTCCACGAATGCAATCCTACAGACCGGCTTTGACTTGTACGTCATAGAGGGAAACCCACTCATCGATGCGTGGTACGAATGGTATCCAGGTTTTGCCCGATACTATGCGGATTTCACCGTGAATCCAGGGGATGTAATTGTGGCTTCTGTCAATGTAACTGCGCCGGATCAGGGAGTGTGTCTGATTCAAAATCAGAGCACCGGGGAGACAGTGTCAGAGACAGTCTATGCGCCAGATAGCTCGGCGACAGTGGTTGGGTGGGACGCGGAGTGGGTGGTAGAGAACTTTGATTCGGACGGGGCGCCCGCGCCGCTTGTGTCGTTCGATCCGATTCGTTTTGAGAAATGCGCTGCCTATGTTGGTGGTGTTGGGCATGGATTGGAAAATGCCACGGTTTATGAATTGGTCAAAAATAATGTGGTTGTGGCTGGTGTCAAGGTTGTGCAGGACGACATGGTTATTACGCGCTTTGGGGTCTGATTGTCAAACAATCAATCGGGCACCTTATTAACTTGCAACTTTGCCTCGTTTTCTAGTATGCTCCCCGAAATTGCAGAAGATATACGTGATATACAAAAGAAGGATGTGTTGGTCGATTCGCTTACACTCGTAGCAAATGCCCACCAATACATCAGTATGATTTCGATGATATGTGTCACAGATTCTAGGGTGAGATGGTCTGATATAGAGATAACTTAGCTGCTTGTAACAGCGGTGATCTATATAGATGTGCTCTCACACCTAGTATATCATAGCCCCATAGCCAGCGCGACTAGCATCTAGGTCGACATGTACTTAGAGAGCAGGATGAAAGTAAATTTAAAATAGGTATATCGGTAGAGCTATACGCTATTTCTAAGTAGGCTTAATATCGGAGCTTACCGTTAATCCTGATAATACTATTTTGAATCATTAAACAGTTTCCGCAGTTTCCGCAGTTTATAGGTAATTGATTTATGATGAAAGGGATTCTAAGGATTAGCTATATATTCTTGACGTTTGAAAATATTGCGCTTCGCCGCTCCGCCTGTCTTGGCCCACAGGCACTGGTCCTTGATCTGCTGGCCTGAGGCCTCCCCGTATTGTCTCACCTCCACCTAGGCCAATATTACTAACCCAGTACGGCGTAACTATAATTAGTGAGCTACTTTGGAACACACCGTATAGCTTCTCTAGAAAAGTAAATATTGTAAGAAAGATATTATTGGGACATGCAACAAAACGCTTCACGTACACTAGTAATGGGCCTGTGCCCTATTACCTGAATTACTGCTGAGGTAGTGGTTAGTATTCCGGCTTTGTCCGAATGTTCTCTTTGGCGGGCGGTAGGAGAAGCTCACTAATTAAGGTGGCGGTGTGCATTTTAACCAAGATTTGATCCACGGTTAGTAACCACACTTTTTTTACTCCGTTGCCTGATCCGGATATCCACCCAGTACAGCACACTGTACGATGGGATGGGGGAAGACGCACTCAATCTTCCAAATTTCTGTATTGGTCTCTGCAAGGGCCTAGATACTGATCCTTCACCCCATCCGTTATCAGCCAGATCCAGACCACCCGCTTAATGTGAAACATATGTTGCGGTTGATCTATTATTGGAAGAAGTAGCCTGGAACTTGTAAGACACCCGGCTTATTATGGGTGCTGTGAATTTCATCCGACCCATTCCAGAAGCTTGCGAGTCCCACTCAAATCTAGATGCCTTTATACCATTCACCCAATGGTTTCCGCCTAAGCGAAGCCAGTCCAAAGTCCTCAGCCTTGTCTTCGACCTGATGATAGAGCTCAGCCATCATCTGGTTGACTCGATTCTGAAATTGCACAGATGCTCCCATGACATGCTGGCTTGGCTCTCGTCCCTATGCGACCAGTCAATGAGAGAACGAGAGCCCAAAGGGCTATGAAAGACGACTTACGTTACCGGCGGGTTCCAAGCGACCGCCATGTGGATCCACCACATTGTCTTTTCCTCCATGCTCCTTTGAACTCGTAGACACCATCGAGTCTGGATCTATAGCAGGCGCCCTTTCGCATTGACGGTTAACGAGACCTTGCAGCGCTGCATCAGCTTCGCGGTATAACATAGCACCAATTCGGTCCATCTCTTCTTGAGTAAACATCAAAGCGTTAGGCTCTGCCACGCCGTCCTCGATCTGAAACCAAAGAAACGAAGCGGTTATCAGTCTCTGTTGGAATTCTCTCTATCGATTGCACATACCTGTGTGGCGAGCAGTGGAGGTTCAAATGCGGATTCATTGTCGGGTATGCCTTTGCGACTGTGTGTGTATGACGCGTCATGCTGATCACGTTCGATGCTACTGGCGGGCCAATTGCTTTCCTTATCCATATCATATTCATTGCCTTCTTTGTTTCTGCTAATACTTTCCGGAAGAGGTGTTGAGCTTCTTATACCATTTCTTGCCCCGATACTCTCATTTGAAGTTATGTCTAAAGATGCCGCATCGCAAGCTTTATGCGGTAGCTCAGCGTCAGAAATTTGGGACTCGGTACCAGAGCCCTTGTTATGGTGCGCTATAAGTCCAGCTTGTTCGCCATGCGATGGAGTAGACGTGTCGATCTTACTGCCTTCCGTTGTCTTAAGGGTCTTCCTTGCAGGCTCTGTCATTGGGCTTGTTTGCAAATTAGCGTTCTCATCTAAACATATGGTGGTAAGGCAACTAGGAGACTGAGCTGAACTCTCGGATTGTCTGGGCGCTATCGTTTTCAATCTAAGCTCGAAGTCGGCGTCTGCACTTCTTGATTCAGACAATGTTGGGGCATGTCCTGTGTTGTCTATCAAGAGCCTGATTAGCGCGTTCCAGTCACGCACGTCAGGAGGAGAGGTGCTCTTAAGTACAAGTTGTGTTCCTCTCTCCTAGGTCAGAGCTATTATCGGCCAGAAGACTGCGTGCTGAAAAAACTGCAGGAAGGGTCACATCAGAGAGATTTGTTTCCTGTGAGTAACAACACAGGGAGTGCTCTGAAGAAGTGTGATTCCCAGAGGCCACAAAGAACTGCTTCACCCTTTCCCATGTTGTGTTGATGGAGTTTTCCCATTGCGATAGAGACTCTCTTGATAAGGCCGAGAACAGAGAGTGTGCTTTCAGTGAATGATAGAGTGGTTCGGCACAGCACGCCACTAATGGCTTGACAGGAGATTGCCAGTGAATGTCTTCTAATAATGACCCTAACCCAAGATAGCCAGTGTTAACAAAGGATTGATAATCTGCGATTGAACTTAGTGGGTCTGGTCTCTCCACAGCTGCACTAGTTGGTGACGAGGATCGGCTTTTATAGGTCATACGATCCCCTTGTGATCCTTCAGATGGAGATATGCTATGCGCCTCAGTGGATGGAGACACAGAGAAGAAACGGCGATTTCTTTGCCAATTTTGATGCAATGGCCTGTCGCTGAACAGTGAATGCAAATCTTGATCACAGCTGGACCCATCAGAGTATGCATATGGAGAAAAGCCATTTGAGTCTGTCGATGTACTCATGTTGTTCTCACTGTCGCTCTGATCTGTATCTTCCTCTTGCTGTTCAACAAACCTGGTATGCCGCAAGAGCAATCTTTCCAGACAGTCATGGACGTCGCTTTCCCCAAGTGTTATCCGGGTGGGTTTATATCGAATCATGATGTCTGATGATGCCGTGGATAGGATGTTCCGTTCATGAGAGCAGCCTTGTCAATTCCTGATGAGAGGATGGTGTAGTTGGATATGGTAAACTATAAGGGACCTCTTCAATTTATTGATGCCGATGGGCTCAGGTAAGGAATAAATTGTTGCAAGTCACTGATATGGAAATTACAGGTGTTAAATCTTCAAGGAAAGTGCGATGGTGAATCGTATACAGTATGCTCCCAGGGTATACCTTACAAAGCATGATTAAGTGTTCTACTAGAAGCATTTTGTTCACTTCCCCGATCTAGGCAGTTTCTCGTATTTGTCTCCCCTAATGTTTTCGTATTTATCTTTTTTCGAGTCACGATGTCTCTAGTGTAGACTCCAACCATGGGATAGGTGTATATGTACGTAGTCGTGGAAGTGGACCTCGGGAGCTGTGGCTGTACCCTGTAGAGACGGTACATCAGTAGTTAGTTGGTGGTATGGTACTCGGTAATATTAGTATGAGTTTTATTTTAGTTTATTAAACTAATAATATTATCAAAAGAACATGTGTTTATTCGACCAGGCAAATGATAAAAGCCGAGGCCAAGAGGGCCTGCGCAGGACCAATCCGAATTACAACAGAAAAGAAAAGAAAAATCAAGGCAACTCAAGAAAATAGAATTACGCCGGATGATGGATCTTCGGACACTGCCAGCTTGTCTCTAGGCAGTCATTTATTTCCTCCTACGTACTTGACTTACATACTAGTACTGGATAAGCTATGGATGCGATGCTAATAATAAACTGATTGCCCAAAGGAGGACATCCTGAGAACCTCAGGCTGCCAACCTTCAGCCTCTTTCTTGCATCTCCTCTTTTTGACCTCCTGTTCTCACCCCTCGTTCACCTCTATACTTCTTTTTTTTCTTTCTTTCCTCTTTTTTCCCCTCCCTCGTCGCCATTCGTAATCCGATCGTTTCCTTTCGTTTCTGTTTTCGATTCTTTTATTCCGCTTGAATTTTATTCTGGATTTGAAAGACAGTTCAGGATACATTTTCGGGTTGTCAGAAGTTCTATAGCTAGGACTGTCGTTGTTGTATCATGCATCATCCGCAACTCCCCCGACCGCCGCCATAGTCCGTCGGTCACCCCTCTATATTCGCAGGAGGTTCTACCCTATTATTATCTCTCTTCTACGCTCCCTTTCTGGGCCACCACCTTTTTCTCTCGCTCTCCTCCTTTCTACTCCCCATCCCCTTTTCTTTCCCGCACCCTCTCGGATACACGGCGTGGTGGATTCGCTGGTTATAACCCGCGCCCAAAAACCCGTCCGCCCCGTATCTTTTTCCGCCCCCCTTTCGACCTCCACCGTGATCTCTCCATAACCACCCGTGCCCATCATGGATGGGGATCTCAGCCTGTCCCAATCCTTGGGAGGTCTACGGATTGCAAACCCGGATGATTCGTCGTTACATTCGTCCGAGGATGCGACCACTCCCGCCCCGACTGCTGCTTCTGAACCACCAGCAGATTCCGAACCAACGCGCGAATCGACTCGGTCCGAACAACTAGACAATCCTCTGTCGACAACACCACCCCAGCCATCAATACCGCCCTCCACGGAATATCCCCACGATGCCCCGGCCATAAGTGAGCCGTTGGCTAAGCCAGTTGAGAATCGAAGTTCAACATATCTTCCTCAGACCGATTCACCGCAGCCTGCCCAGCAAACTCCCGCCTACATCTCCCAACAACCATACCCTCAGTCTTCACAACAGAACCGTTCTTTGGGCTCCTCTCGCCCTTTGTCGGGCCTCTACGCGTATGCGAATGGGTCTACGTCGACATTAGCGGCCCGGGAGGGTTCCTATCGGATTCGTACTGATTCCGCCGCATCGTCCGCCTCCGAAAGCCAGGCCCGGGCGGAATCCCGTGGTGGTTCTGCAGCTTACCAGGCAGGGGTTCCGGTACGCGATAATAGCCACAGTGATCGGTCGTATAGAACAGCGCAGCTACCGATGGGCAATGGGCCCATGGTGATGCGCCAACCGTCCCGTGCTCGTGCGCGTCCCTCAGGGGCTCCACAACTCGCCGGGGCCCCGTATGCGGTGGAAAATGGCCAATCCTCGAACGGCGAGGACTGGAATGACCGAGGTGCCGCGGTGGCAGTCAGGCAAGAGATTGATGCCAACGGGAAGCCCGTTGCTCGGTACATCAAAAAGGGAGTTCGCGACTTTTCGTTCGGCAGCACCCTGGGAGAAGGCTCATACAGCACTGTTGTACTCGGGACAGATCGTCAAACGCTCAAGGAATACGCCATCAAGATCTTGGATAAAAGGCATATCATCAAAGAGAAGAAGGTGAAATATGTGAATATCGAGAAGGATACCCTCAACCGGCTTACTGAACATCCCGGTATCGTCCGACTCTATTATACCTTCCAAGATGAACGCTCGCTATATTTTGTGTTGGATCTTTGCAAGGGTGGTGAGTTGTTGGGGGTGTTGAAACGCATGACCACTTTTGACGAAGAGTGCACGAGGTTCTACGGGGCTCAGATTTTAGACACTATAGACTACATGCATAAGCGTGGCGTTATCCATCGCGATCTGAAGCCGGAGAACGTTCTTCTTGACAGCCAGATGCACATCAAAATAACAGATTTCGGCACGGCAAAGATTCTCAAGAGCCAGCGCAAACCAGACTCGAGCACGAGTGGAATACCGCCATTGGACTCAACAGACATCCCTGAAGAAGAGCGGGCAAGCTCCTTTGTTGGTACGGCTGAGTATGTCAGCCCCGAACTGTTAACAGACAAGAACGCGTGCAAGGCAAGTGACCTGTGGGCATTTGGCTGCATCATCTATCAACTCTTGGCTGGTCGCCCTCCATTCAAAGCAGCGAACGAATACCTTACTTTCCAAAAAATCGTTGGACTCGAGTATGAGTTTCCTCTCGGTTTCCCTGATGTTGCTCGTGACCTCGTCGAGCGTCTCCTTGTATTGGACCCAACTCGTCGGCTGCCAATCGAACACATCAAGAACCACGAGTTTTTCCGGGGCATGACATGGGGCCCAGACTTGTGGAAACAAAAAGCGCCCCGTCTCAAAGCTTATGTTCCTCCGCCCCGTGAGCCGATCAAATTGAACGGAGCTGGGGAAGGGGACGCCTTTTCTGCGGGTATCAATGCAGGTCCATCAAGTACCAACAGCGCCAATCCTAGAGTTGTCCCTAGACTTGTCACGGAATTGCCCCCTCCAAGCCAGCTCGACATTGAATGGTCGCCCGTGCTTACTAAAAGCAATGAAAGGATATTAAAACTGGGAAACCTCCTGGTACTGTCTTCGCCAGCTGTGCATAGCCCTTCCACCAAGAGCGGGGGTGGCGAGAGCGAAGCGCCGAAAAAGTTCGCGCGCTTCTTCGGGGGAAGCACAACAAAGAAGCGGCAGCGGCTGGTCATGGTCACCTCCTCTGCACGTATTATTATGGCCGCGGCTGGTGGAGATGAGAAAAAGGCAAAGCTGGAGATTTCCCTGCTATCTCCAGGAACACACTGGCGCTCCTCAACGGATTCGAAAGGGCTCCCTTGCTGGGTCGTTGACACGGTATGTTTATCTTTGCATGTGACATAGGCGAACCAATGCTAATCTGCGTGTGTAGCGTGATAAACATTACGTTTTCGAAGACCCTAAACCATCATCTAGCAACGCTGGTGCGAATACTGCCAATGCGCAGGAATGGGTGGATTCTTTGGATCGTGCACGAGAGATGGCTTTGACTCAGCAAGCGAATGGGACATACTCGGCCGACGAGGCTTTCCGCGACATATCGTCTGAGCTGTCGAGCCACGCCAACACATTGGACCGCAACTCTGAAGTTCACCACGAGAACCCACCTGGACGAGCCACTCTAGTTAAACATCAGCCTGCAGATTCGGATTCCGTCAAAGGAAAGAAAAGGTTCAGTAGACGGCATTCAAAGAATGGCCTGGCAGCTGTTTTCTAGACGACGTGCTCGCCAGAACTTATACAAGGCCTTCCTCGGCGACGGCCACAGGTACAATCTTTTCAACCATTGTCCGATCATGACGTTTATCTAACATCTCTCCCGCGCTTGACATCGGGGTTGGTTACTGCGCAGGATCGCAATTTTAACTTTTCTTTCTCTGGTCCCGGACTATCACACAGTTTCTTTGCTTCTTCCTGATGTCTCCGGGGTGATGTGACTTGCATACTTTCTATTGTTGACAGGTCTTGGAGTATCCTTGATATGGACCCTCAACCAACCACTATTATTTCCTTTGTCGTGCATTTGTAGCAATTTCCTTTTGTGATGTGATTTTCCATTTTGCCTTGCATCTTTGCAATGATGAGCGTTTTTCTTTTCTTAAGATCGCTGCATTTAGATGGGCAGGAGTACGCATATATCCCTCATCTGGCATCTACTTTTTTTTTTCTCGATTTGTATTGCCGTGCTTCCTCTTCTGTTCACCTTCTCTCTTCCTTTTTTTTTCTACCATCATTCTCTCCTCTACATATTGAGATATATATCTTCGCTTGGTCGAAACAGACGATCCACAGAGTCTTGTCGGATAACGCTTTGCCGGTGTACAGAGTTCAATACAGAAAACAGTCAGGATAGCCCCCTTTTCCGGCTCCGACAGATCTTGATCTACCCGTTCCTGCTTCAGGTTCCGTTTGCTATTATACCATTCGGTTTGTTCCACTGAGCGGATTTTTCTTTTCTTTTTGTGTTTTCTTTCCATAGGAGCTGAATTGATTCCCCTACTATGCGTCTCTCTCCACCCTGCCAGATTCCCCCCGTCTCCATGTTCCCTTCGTTCTGCTCGATTTCACCCATATGCATTTTTTTCCCCCGTTCTTGTTAAATAACTTTCCCCTTCTATGGTACTTGATATAGTCGAATTGAAATCTTCCATCCTGGTTGGAGATCTCGTGGCCTGCTACTTGTTCTGGACTTGCTTCCATATATCTCTGGGATTGCTTGGGGGGAAAAAAAATCATTTGTCCAGATTATGATGTTATATTTCAAATTTGTATTTCTTTCAGACCGAGAAAGGGGATATCTAACAAACAAATTATATTCAATATGTACATCCGTAACATCATACTCATGATAAAAGGGCATTAAATATACTGTATACATAGAATCATATGAATAACCAATCGATCCTCGAATCATCCAGTTCCTGGATCCAGTCGAAATCGTCCCCATCATCATGGACAAAGGACCCAAAGGGGTTATTATCTTGCTGCTGTTGCTGCTGCTGCTGAGCCCGTTTCGAGTCCCGCTTCTGCCACATCAGACTTAGGACCCAGGCTGCGTTGCGGACGTTCACGGATGTGACGTCGTAGTAGATGGCGCTGAGGGTCTGGAGGAGGATGGGGCGGAGGGAAGGATCGGTGCATTCTGCGCCGGCGATGAAGGTCGGCCAGATAAGGCATTTGAAGTGGTCGTCTGCGACGGGGATTAGGGGGATTTGCTGGATCAGGAGGTTGGTGATGGCTTTGTGGTCGGGTGGGAGGCCTGGGATGGTGGATTTCGCGCGGCCGTGGGCGCGGGGGCGGGAGAGGACACGGCTGGTGTAGAGGTAGACGGCGGAGCGCCAGATGGTTGCTAGCGCGGTCCGGACGGAGAGGTCGGGGAGGTGGAGGAAGCTTTGCATTTCTTCTGCCCAGGCAACTGGGTCGAAGGCTTGGATATGCTGGAGGAGGGCGGTGGGGGGTTGGAGCAGGGGGTTGGAGCCCTTCGGGAGGAATGTCGAGGAGTAGTTCATGGCCGGCGGGTTGGTGCTGGGGTCTGGGTCGACGCACCAACCTTCGTGGACGAAGAAAATGACTTCGAGGAGGTAGGCGGGACATCCGATCCAGGCGGTTTCTTCGAGACGTTTCAGGGTTTCTGGGCCCATGTCTGAGGAGTAGAAGGGTTTGGAGAGAGACCCGGGCCTTGCGAGTGTTGCGCCCATGACTTGCATGCTGGAAAGAGAGAGTTAGCGAGGATGACGGAGTTTCTCTGTGAGTGTTGGCTTACACGAGACAGCCATCAAGTACAAATGCGTCCAGCCAGTCGATCATGCGCTGTGTCGGACTAGATGGGCTTTTGCTTTGCCGGCTCATCAGAAGTTTCTTGACGCCTTCCAGATGGTACTTCCATGCGCCGTCGCCTGATTCGATAGCATCCATCAAAGCAAGAACCATAATCACTGCTAGTGTCTTGGTGTCGTTCTGTTTGAGGGGGTCTTGCAAGTCCAGCGACAGTTGACGCAGAGTGCGTTGTTTCAATTTTAAGAATTGTTCATAGAACTTGGACGCAGGGCGTCGTGACATAGAACTGATCACCGCCTTTTCAACATCCTGCGGGGATGGAAGGGCCCCAGTGACCGAAGCGCCATCCGACAGCCACGGCGTTGGCGAGAAGTCACAGCTCGCCAGCAACGCATAGTGTAGAGCCCCAGTGGCAGCAAGCGCATGGGCGAGAACGGGGGAGTCACCCACTAAGACCGTTAGATCGCGGTACGGGTTCCTGACGTTGGAATAAAAGGCGAGACAGCCCACTACATTCTGGTGGACTTTGAAGAGACAGTTAGCTATATGCACCCGTGTGTTTCCTGGGGATAAATGATCTAGAACTCACAATGCGAGATGTAGAACCTTGATAACGAATCCATGTCTTTGAATAATGGATCAACCATGCCCCGCGGCGAGGGAACATGGTCCACCACGGAAAGGTTCGCCTCTGGAACAACTAAATCGAAGCTGTTCCCCCACTGTGCCGCATCAGGGGTATCACCAAAGGTCGATGGCTGGGGCACATCGTCCGAATCAATATCCAAATTATCTTGACCCTGGGCGTCAACTTCGGGAGGCGGGGGATCGGCGGCGGCAGGAGAACCGTCCTCACTACCGCGATCTGAAGTGTTCTGCACAACATCATCAAAGCTGCGCCCCATCATTTTTCCTCGACTGGCCACACCACCCTTTACCCAGACCAGGGGTTTCTGATAGCCCAAGCATTCCTTCCCCGCATCTCGACACTTTCGACACGTGGGGAGGCCATTGTCGCAGATGATGCGCCGGCGGCGGCAGGTGTAGCAGCCTTTGGTCATGGCGCTTTCGAATCTATCGGGGTAACGAGTCACTAATTCAGGGTTAAGAAACCTAGATCCTAAACAAGCAACTTGAAGCTATTCAAGTATATCGAAGTATAACGCTCGCCATCCTTAGGAAATGGCTACGAAGAATCGGACATCAGCGGAAGACGGTTGCGCCACCCGGACATCGCTGTAGTAAACAAGGGAAGAGAAAGTGCTGGGATGGAGACAGGCGGAATCCTCTGTAAAAAAGGCGCAATATTGTCGGAAACTTCACGGGCGAGATGATGGATAAGCTGATACTCTTTCAGCCCAGCGCTATCCCGTTTGCGGTATGGTTGCCAAGGGGTCCTTAAATCGAGCCTAACAAAGTTCCGTCCCTGCCTGATTGGGATGCCCAGGGCATTCTAGATCACATGCTCCTTCTGTACTTCTACGTCACATCAATAAGGTCCAGCAAAACATATATATATATATCTCTATATATAGCCGGTAAGTCCATTTCTATTGAGAAACGCACTACTTCGTGGCTACCAACTTCCACTGTTGATTTTTCTGTTTGTTCAGTGAGAAAACCAACACAGGAGCGCCATCATCCTGGCTAATACCTTTGACATCAAGAACCGAATTAGGATGAGCCACACTATGAATGCTACAAGAGTTTCTCTGTCAGTATACTGCCCTGAAGTCTAATATTATCTTCTCCAAATAGTCTTCAAATTAATAAAAGCCACATACAAGTACGCTCCATCTTCCGCGTAGACAAACTTCCACCTGACATGCTTATCAGTTGGTGACGTGAGATTCCCAGTAGCTGGCTCTCGGTCTTTCTCTATGAAAATTGTAAGTTCATGTGAAGTAGCAGGAAAGTTCACTTCGTCGGCATGACACCAACAAAGAGGGGGATCGTACCAGGAGCAGTCAAATATGTCCCTGCCTTGTCCGCCAGAATGAGGTATTCATCGCGCCCTGCGGCAGCAACGACCCATTTCTGGTCCACATGGTGCTTTCGCGACCCCCTGTTACGAGGTTAACTGGGTCAGTCTTCAGCCCGGGCATCATAGACTACAGTACCATTGTTGGACTTTGGTATGGTTGGCTTTCTTGGAATCGTCGAGGTCGAGGTATTTTTTGCTGTGCTGGGCTTGAATCAAGTATAGACCGGGACCGTTGAAATCATTCAATAGTGCTGCCATCTTTGGATTTGCTATATCCAAATTAAAAGTTGTGAGACTGATTGAGAAGTTTAAAGCACAAACATTTAGTAGGGGGAAAACGACATACTATAAATGCTATCTTTCCATCACGCCATCAATGTCAATATATTCATTCAATCCAAGAGAGTTAGATAAGGTGATGAGGTCATTGGTAGCATGGTTGAGACATCTTATTCGGCACGTCTTTCACTACATGCAACATGACTCTGCTCCGTGAGCCGGTCTGGGATCTTCGGGGATTGGAACTATGTTTAGAGGTGGAATCTAGATGCTCATGACCTGCATGTGTGCTCATCAGCCCGAGTTGCAATACCACCGAGTCTACTATTGAACCTCGGTGAACAGGAGCCACCGGGGAGAACGGCATGTTAGGGCAAATGTGCTTAAGCGCAAGTGCTTATATGACTATCTTTTCCTAACTGCCAATTGAAGATCTATGGGCATGAAGCAGTGTAGCATCAGTAATTAACCGGAGAGTAGTCACACGGCTATAACGAATCCATTTGGTGGCTAGTCGGACTTGCCATGGTAATAATAGCATACAAAGACGAGTCTCAAATGTGCCAGGGAGGATCCTCTCAATAGGGTAGTTGCGGCAAGAGGTATAAGATGGTCTGGTTGTAAGCACAAGACCTTGTGATACTCTACAATGCGTAGTATCTCAGCGCTAGGAACGAAGGTGTTAGGGCTTTGGACAAGGTTGGCGCTTGAAGTTGCAGTACTTCGAAGATATCAAACAATCAAAACACACTACAAGGAATCAGGACAATATGCTAGGTATAACTACACTTTCTTTGTCCGCTTGCATCTTGAGCCACGCTCGGTGATGTCTACGGAGAACGTTTGACAAGCCAGGCAATGCCAACCACAAGATGCAGCGAAGATCTACATGACGTCTCCTTGCCACCCGACATATCCTGCCCCTCATCGAAAAGATGGTCGAGGGATATGCGAGAACGGCGAGTCCACTGATGGAAAGACTGACTCCGCCACCTCCTGTGTCATACTGGAGCTAGGCCGCCAGAGTCGTCCTCCCACCAAGCTGGAAATGGTGACGGTTGGCCGGGAGAACAATGTACGATGAAGCAAGGTCGTGTCGTCTCAGTAGATCTTTGAGAAGCCGAATATGTGATTGTATTCGCCCCTATGTCAAGTTCGATAACTGAACATTATTCATCCTAAACCGACTCTTTGAACCCGTTTCGCAAGATCAGAAGCAAAAAAGAGACCGTTTCAAATGCCACGTATGGCTCCAACGCAAATATGCATCACATTCTCAGCCTCCCTTCGCCACAGCGACCTAGGGGACTCCCGGTCGCCGGACGATCAAACCCTCGCAGAGTGCGTTCTTTACGAGCTGGGGTTGGCGTTCATCTATTGTAACCATCAGCCTCCATCTCAATAGCCATGCCAAAGATGTTATTTCCATCGCCTTTTCATACCTTGCGCTTGCCACCGGTCATGGTGACGTTGACGAAACGACGGGTGTAGACGATCCTCTTGCGGGCGCGGCCCTTAGGGGTCTTGGGCTTCTCCTGCTTGTCGACCTTGGGAGTGGCGGCCTTGACCTTACCGGCACGAGCGAGGCTGGAAAAAAAGGTCAGAATCTGAAATTTGGGGATATCTTCGATGGAGGGGTCGATAGGCGAAGGGTTACTTACGATCCGTGGACCTATAACCGTGTAAAGTCAGTAATCAGCATTTCCCCTTGCGAGAAAGGAGGCCTGGACGACTTATTCACATACCTTACCCATGTTGACTGTATTTGGCGGATGAACTGGGAAAGGGTTTCGTTAGGTTCTGTCGATGGTGTTGTCGCTGATGATGCCGACGGATTGTGGGCTCGAATTTTTCAGTGTGGTCACGGGTTTGTGCGCTTGTGCGCTTGTTCGCTGTCTGGCTCCACTTATTTTGGCCCGGAACAAAGTATTGCCTCCACTTAGAATGCCTTGATGCCTGGATGCCTGGCGATTCTTGGCCGGGCTTTGACTCAGAGTTCGGTTGGATTAATGTTGCTCCGGTCGTTCCTGCACTTTTCCAATTTCGGTTTACCATCACGTGTCCACCAGTGACCATCTCAATTAGGGCATCAATTTGATGCCTGATTACTAGCCTGCTCATTTCGTCCAGCATTATTACCTTGTTTTACCTAATTTCTGAATATGATTGACTTCGAATATAGAATCATGGCTGGTACAATAGGCTCATGACATGGCTTGGCAAATACTGGACTACCGGGACGTGATTTTGACCAACTTGAAGTCATCAAGTGACGGAGACAATGTCTGCTGATGTGTGACCCTTTGCTATGACGGCTGGAGTGACTCAGTTCAGAGGAGCACAGCTCTCTGAAAAGAGCGACTTGCATTATGTAGTATGCATATATCTACAGAGCAGCTATTGAATACATGCTAAGGGGATATCTGCCGTTACTACCTTGGAGTTCGGGGTACGGATGGATATGTGCTAATTCCCTCTCCTTTGAGCTACATTATGACAGGGACCATTGTCATCAAAGCCCGACCGAGAGTTAGCCCTGTGGATATGGTCTCCCTAACTACTGCCAGCCGTGTCTACGAGGCTGGTTGTAGGCCCAGTCATGCATCTAGACCAAAAAGTCAGAAGAGATACCGTATGGGATCGAACGGATTCATAATTATTGAGAGCGATAGATGGGCGATGCATAGTAAGAATTTCTCACATGGGACTAACCACGGAATAATGACAATAGCAATACGAGGCAACGCGGCTGATCTGACAAGAGGAAGGAGGGGAACTGCTAGTCGATATTACGTACATCGTATAGAGTATGTGCAGTAGCTTTCGCACGGATTAGGGGCCATAGCGTATATCTACTTAGTACTGAGATGCGTTAACCAAAATAGTCAACCATTGTACGGAGAAGTCTCATCCGTATTACTTAGTATCTTAACACTATCCCGATGTTACGCGGAATGCATTGGCAGACAATCGATAGTTCACATTAGAAATTAGGGCCCGGCCCGCAAGTGATCTCCAAGGCGGGCTGAGAAGGTCGGGCTACTAGTAGGTATCTACGATCTACTCCAAAGTACTACTACCGACTACTTACAGGGATCGGCGTTTCCGAGATTATGGCAGATAAATTGCATGGGTTTGGTCCCTTGGACTAACCCAATCAGAGTCAAACATTTCATAAGCACACAGACTCGGAAGTCAGCTCAACGGGGTACGACCTATGATCGTCAAGTCGGCCAGCCACCTGGCTCACATCGATTCGTACTAGCTATCTAGAGGCGTGGTATTTGCGCAACATGGGCTATCGTGCGTCGTGCCAAGCATATATGCCCTACCCCCGTTGCGAACACATCATACATAACCCTCAGTGGAGATGTTTGTTCTTGCTAATGCAGAGAGAGAGGTCCACCACGATCCAAGGATCCCAAGCCAATAATGCATATCTGGCGTCATCATCGGTCGGTCTAGATAGCAACTCGTGTATGGAGTAGGTCTTAAACCCCGAGAGTGGAGGGACAAGAAAATATCTCATGCGAAGCCAAGGCTTGAATGCCGGTTAATAAAGTCTTCCAACAGCAACCAAAGACCTGAATTACACGTTCTAGATCTGTTAGACAGAGTCCCGAAAGTATATTTTTCAACGAACTGCCCTGAACTGCTTTTGTGGGTGCTCGCCATATCTCCCAAGCGCCACCTTTAACCAGCCTTCGGTGTGATTGTTTTTTAGTTTAGGAGGCTGCTGGAACTTCTGTGCATCATGAGCCCCCGATGTTGGTTTCGGAAACTACAATCCACAGTGGGTATTGGTTATGCGACTGATCCATGTTGCTGTTAAGTGTCTATACTCCAAAAATCATAGTGTATGCAACGCAGAGGCCTGTGAGCAGCTCAACTATGCAGAGATAAGTTGGCTGTGAAAGAGAAGGCAATCAATAGTCCGCCTGGGGCACAAGAAAGATGAGAATTATGGCGACAACCAGATCACTGTTTTGCAGCCATGACTGTATTACTCTCGGCCGTAGAAATTCCGATGGTAGAAACGCTTCATTATGTATGTATGTACATCTCTCATTTCCTGGTTGCTGCTACATGTAATGCAAATACCGACCGGCAAATCAACTCAACTACGAAGGAACATACATGCAGGTAAACTCCACCTACTCGATCTCAGCTCTCCACGGCCCCATTGATTTCTTTCCTGTTCAGGCATTTACTCCATTTAGTCCATGCATGCCATTCACACCATTGATCCCCTTCACTGATCCATTTTCGTGTACTTCATGCTGATCATTATCAGGGTACTCAGCCACCGAATCCTGTGGAGGTGGTTTGGGGCGCGCCAGACTTTTCCTGACCCTCTTCAAAGTCGACACAACACTGGCGGGGTTGGGTAGGTTGGGATTGTCGCCACCCTTCTTGGGGATTGACTCCTTGTCTAGAATCCCGGCTTTGACCATCTCGTTCACACTTGAATGGATCTTGGCCTCTTTCGGGATATCGCGCGGGGCTCCCAAGTTGGGTGGGAATCTTCTCGGAACCCACTCTCCTTTCTCCAGCTCTAATCGCGTGAAGATGGGTAGTATCTCTGCCAGATGCCCATTCAGTACAGTCACAACGCAATGGACAAAGAAAAGAAAAGAACGACGGATGCATACCTAGGATCCACCAGAAGAAAACCATCAGGAATGCAGATGCATGTCCAAACCAGAGACAATCATGGGGCTGATTGGTGCGGTGTCTCACTTCCCATGCGTTGGTCCCCGGCTCTTCCTTGCCAGGAAAGACACTTTCAGCCCTCAGAACATCTTCGACATTAGTCGTTTGAAATTCCAGCTTACTTTCCGAGCCCTCCAGGTGCAGGACTTCCTGGACCATCCAATTCAATGGCGTATCGGAAAGCAAATGTTTCTGGCCTTTCTGAAGACTGTAGCCACCGCCCACGTCGCTGTGGTTTCCCGCAAACCACACTTCCTTGAAGTCGG